GAGTAACAAACATAAAAAAGAAGAAGGGGAGATAAGGACGATAGATGTTTGATAGGAAAGAAGAAGCAAACCACACCAGAGCACCCGCCAACCATCCAAAAATTTCTGCAAGAGATTAGTTTAGTTTAGTTTTAGTAAGAGTTTTACGGCACTTGCAACACAACAAGGTCATATAAGTGCCAAAGAATAGATTATGTCACATGTGTAGCAAGAGAGCAACATACATAAAAAAAGAAGGAGGGGAGATAAGGACGACAGATGTCTGATAGGAAAGAAGGAGCAAACCACACCAGAGCACCCGCCAACCACCCACGGAAAGAGATTAAGAAGAAGAAAAAAGCTGAAAAGGAAACCTGCCACATTGTCACTGCACTAGCCACATGGCACATCTCATTTTCGCTTCTTTTGAGATAAATTGGAAAAAACTGTTTAACTAAAGTATTTATCATATAGTGGTAAAATTTGCTGCGCACATTTTTTTTGAGACTGCCAGCGCATTTTTTTGATTTGGTGTTATCAAAAGATAGAAAATGTAGTACCACAAAAAAAGAAAGAAAAAAGAAACGTTGCAATTTGGCTTAACTTTAAGTTATGCCAATTTACAGTCGTAATGACGTGCAGACTTCTCATTGTGAAGGTATTAAGAAGACAAGAAGAAAAAACAAACAAAACACAAAAAGCAAAATATCCACTTAAAATTTGATGAACCCGGCAGCTAGGACGGACTATCCCACTCACCCCGGGTCGGCCCTGACTGACAGACAGGGCCAAAGACGCACGCCTCCTAGATGACCTAATAGTGAGGCAGCATGGTGAAATCAGGCGCTCGTCAAAAATATTGAAATCGAGTCACGACGCGGTGGAATCAGGCGCTCGTCAATATTTGTACATATATAGAGTTATTGGTGTTGTCTTAAAGCTCGTTCATTTGTCTTGCTTTCGAGGAAAAAAGTTCAGATCTAGCTTCAATAGAAGTCGAAATATTTTGGCTTGAAAGAAGTGGGGGTCACCTGATTTCAGGGGTAAAATTAGGGAAAATAATATGGCCGCCAAAGTTTAGTGACTTCCAAAGCTTGAGAGTTCTAGGAAACTGTAAATCTACATTCTTTTTGCGCTTTAATTATTGTTTTTCAGTAAAAATCCACCCAGCAATGTATTTCTATTTAGACATAAAAGGTTTTCAGCCAAAAAGTAAAAATTCGATAAAAATTATCCAACTAGAAGAAAAATGCCATTTTCTTCGATTTGGCTATTTTGACAAGCGCCTGATTTCACCACGATGCTTCACAATGGAAGAAACTGGGCATTTTTCTGCCAGTTTGGCAATTTTTAACGAATTCTTCTTGGCTTAACACCACTGTTGTCCACTTTAATTAAGAACACATTTCTGGTTGGGTTTCACAGAAAAACGTTGATTAAAGTCACTAATAATATAAGTTCTCAATTTCCACTGACTATCACGGTATGTAAGCAACCAAACTTTGGCGGCCATTTTCTCGCCAATCCTGCATTTGAAACCAGGCGTCCCCACCTTCTTCAATCTCAAGTATCTCGACTTCCATTCAAGAGAGACGGGCATTTTTTTCACCGATGCATGCCAAGACAACTGAACAAGCTTTAAGATGATACCAATACCTCAACATACCCAAAATTGACGAGCGCCTGGTTCCACCACGTCATAACACAAATCATCCACTGAGGCATGAAACCCACACAACTGCAACAACCAATCACACACAGACACACACACATACCTGTTAGCTCCCCGGAAGCCCCCGGTGCCACGCCCTCTGCCGCGCGGCCACCGTCGGTTGTTGTCCCAGGGACGGAAATCTCCGCCGGCTCTCTCCGAGCTGCCCCGGCGGCCGCGGTTCCGGTCGTAGTCCACCACCACACTCCGCCCCTCCTCCGGGCCTAGTCTGCTCGTGTTGGAGCTCCGGCCGTGTTCCGAGTCCCTGTAGTAGAGCTCAGTGCTGGAGTCTCGCTCCCCTCGTCGCACTTCGATGCGGAACCCTCCAGTGCTGGGAAAATTGCAAAACCATTAAAAAAAAATTTTTGTTTTAGTAGAGGGTTTTACGGCACTCACAACTGCATAAGGTCATAAGAGCGCCAAGGGGTGGGTGTCAACAGAAAAGTCCTTACAAGGAATCAGACTTAATCTGCTCACCTCTCTAGCTTCAACAGCACAAGGTCCGCTTCAACCATCAAGGCACCCCGGAAACAGCAGTTCACAAGAGAGTGACAAACATACAAAATAAACAGAGGAAAAATGACGACAGCAAGGATTTGGAAAGAAAAAGCAGCAGTTCCCTGTTGTAGATCAGGCACAGTTATGGACATGACGAATCAGCCCGTTTACAATTTTACTATGCTTGAACGAGAAATGTCCCCCCCTTTGGGAATGGCCTAAAGACACTACAGTCAGTGGCACTGCCCCAAGGGGGAGAGACGAACAACACTAACTGGGAGAATTACCTCAAATCACGAAAAGAAGAGTCACAGAAATAGATGTACAGGAAAGTGGGAAGACGTGGAATAACATCAAGAGGCTAGTCCTGGATAGGGAAGGTGAAAAGTGCTTATATGAGGTCTATACCCTGGTGCAGGGTGAGAAAGGCGATGATGATGATGATGATTTTTTTCGTTTCCTTAATGGGCCTGGTGGACTCCACAAAGAAATCTTTGAGCGAAAGCAAGGCTCTTTTTCGTCTCCATTGTCAATAAGGCCATAAGAGCGCCAAGGGCACTTAAAGGCACCTTCACTCGTCCAAATAACTCCATTCGAATAGCCTTTGTATGATGATGATGATGACAGGAATACTCACTCTTCTCGGTCGCTCCGTCTTTTCTCCAGAGCCTGCCTCAAATCGTACGTATCCCCTCTGCCTCTCCCACCAGACTTGCGACCGTCGTCTTTCCTCCCAAACTGGTCTTCCTCTTTCCTCCTCCCGTCTGGTCCAGCCTTCCTGTCCTCCACACTTCTCCTGTCTCCGTCTTTCCTTCTCTTCCCAAGTCCCTCCTCTCGCTCCACTTGCTGGCGAAATTTCGACTCGTAGCGAGGATCGGGGCGGGGATCGAGTCTGGGGGAGAAAATTCTGAAGTTATTCAAACGGTGTACAATATTTTTATACTCATAGTCTTCTTTAACTCTTAGTATATGTGAGGCAGTGTGGTGGAATGAGTTAAAAATTATTTTTAATTTTTTGACTCAACACCTGTTCTGTTCAATTAAAAACATTTCCATGCAGCTTTCACTGGAAAACATTGATCAAAGACACACAATACGTATATTCACAGTTCCTGAGGACTTTCAATCTTTGGAAATCACCAAACTTTGGCGACCATTTTCTCGTTAATTTTCTTCCCACTAGCACCAGGGACCTCCACCTCTCTCAATTGCAAAAATCTCTACACGTGTACAACATCGATGGGAATATTTTTCATCTAAAAAAAAAAAAGGTAAATAAACAAGCACTAAGAAGTCACCAATAACTCCATCTCCATATATCCAAAACCTGACGAGGGCCTGATTCCACCACGTCTCAACGCATATGTGTCACAATGCAGTGGTAGTTAGTACAGGTTTTACGGCGCTCGCAACTGCATAAGGTCATATGAGCGCCAGAAGATAAGAGGTGTTACAAGACAGTAACAAACAAAACAGAAGAAGGGGGAGATAAGGGCGATAGATGTTTCATAGGAAAGAAGAAGAAAACCACACCAGAGCACCTGTCAACCACCCACTAACGCAGTGGAATCAGGTGCTTGTCAATTTTGGGGCATATGGAGTTATTAGTATCACCCTAAAGCCTGTTCATTTGCCTTCCTTTGGGTGAAAAAAATATCCATCTATGTTGAATAGAAGTCGAAATATTTGCGATTGAAGGAGGTCAGGGTCGCCTAGCAAGAAAATGGCTGCCAAAGTTTGCTGACTTCCATAGCTTAAAAGACAATGAAAAACGGCAAGTTCACATTGTTTTGTGCCTTTAGTCAACGTTGTTTAATAAAATCCAAACATAAAAGTGTTTTTGAACGGACATACATGGTGCTGAGCCAAAAAAACAAAAATTTGAAGAAGAAAAAAAAAAATCAAAACTGGCCGAAAAATGCTGATGTCTTGGATTTCATTATTTCGACGAGCGCCTGATTTCACCACGATGCCTCACATATACTTTTATTATAAACATGATGCATTTGTCAGTGCTTTGTGATTTTTTTGTCATGATTATCAGCAAGAGAGCAGTGACGTTTGCCAGCACAACTGGTTCACCATAAACTGAGCATTAATGTAGCCCAGGTCCTTAACAGACCTATTCAATGTCACTGGATCTTTTATGTTTAAATAATGGAGATCAGGTATCAGGATTTATTATTCTCCTTATCTCTCTTTCCCTCCCCCCCTCCTCTCCCTCCTTTACACTTCTCTCTCTCTCTCTTTTTTTTCCTCCCCCCTCTCTCTCTCCTTCCCTGTCTCTCTCCCTCTCTCCTTTCCTGTCTCTCTCCCTCTCTCTGTTTATTTCTTTCAAAGGAAGTCCACTTGCCAATAAATAAATCTTTTTGAAACATGACTTTTTCCTCTTTTCCATTATACTTTCCAAATTGTTCTACAAAATAAATTCAAACTTTTCTTCCCGAATTTGTTCATGACCTCCAGTCTTTTCAAGCATTTCAAAAGTCTGAACAGCCAGTCAAGAGCTGTGAAACAAGACAACAGAGAAGGAGGAGGAGAAAAAGAGAAGGAGAAGAAAAAGAAGAAAAAAAGAACTTCATCTGAACAAGCACAATACCGTACTATTTCAAAAATTTCTCCCCTCTGTGCGTGTGTGTGTGCGTGTCAGAGAGAGAGAGAGAGAGAGAGAGAGAGAGAGAGAGTGAGAGAGAGAGAGAGACAGAGAGAGAGAGAGAAAAAACGACAGACTGGCAGAGAGAGAGAGAAAGAAAACGACAGACTGACAGAGGGAGAGAGGGAGAGAGAGAGAGAGAGAGAGAGAGAGAGAGAGAGAGAGAGAGAGAGAGAGAGAGAGAGAGAGAGAAAGATAGAGAGAGAGAGAGAAAACAACAACAGACAGACAGACAGAGAAAGAAAGAGAGACAGAGAGAAAATAAAAGAAAGAGAAAATGAGACAGACAGACAGACAGACAGACAGACAGACAGACAGACAGACAGACAGACAGAGAAAGAGAGAGAAAATAATCAATCCTGTCACCTGATTTCTGGCTCTCGGTGGGGGGATCTGCTTCTTGACCTCTCTCCAATCTGAAGGCCAAACGCTTTGCTACAGAAGAAAACATCATGAGTGACAAACATACAAAAGACGTAGAGGCAAAAGACAATAGTAAGGATCAGGAAAGAAAAAGCAGCAGTTCCCTGTTGTAGATCAGGCACAGTTATGAGCGTGACATGAGTCAGTCCATTTACAATTCTAGTATGCTTGAACGAGATATGTCCCCCCTTTGGGAATGGCCTAAAGACACTTCAGTCAGTGGCACTGCCCCAAGGTTTTTTTTACAAAAGTTTGACCTAGAGGTGCACTCACGCAAATGCACAACAAGACAGGACATTAGGATCATTAAACTTATAGACAATTTCGCACCTGCAACCAGCGGAAGACAAGTCGCTCGAAGACCCTTCGATATCATTGATTAAATGAAGGAAAATCTATTAATGCTAGCATTTGCAAATCTCATCAGTGGTACTTGAAGAAATGCAATCAAGTTCCATGTGTGAAAAAATTATGGTGATGTGAGCTGTGAGCACAAACACAGTGCGACTTAAAACTTTTTTTCTGCTGTTAGTGAATGAAAAAGGAGGAAGAGGAAAGCCACAACCTTTCAGAACTACAACATTATATTATAATTAAATGCAAGTTTTTTTACATTCTTTATTTAGCTGCTCCGTAGCGGTGGGTTGACTGAAGTGATGGGAAGCATGAGACAATGAAGCCAAGCATTTCTTCTTTCTTATAGTAGAGGGTTTTACGGCGCTCGCAACTGCATAAGGTCATATGAGCGCCAAGGGGTGGGTGTCAACAGAGAAGTCTTTACAGGGAACGTTAGACTGCTCACCTCTCTAGCTTCAACAGCACAAGGTCTGCTTCGACTATCAAGGCACCCCAAAATAGCAGGTCACAAGAGTGACAAACATACAAAAGAAGTAGAGGTAAATGACAATAGTAAGGATCAGGAAAGAAAAAGCAGCAGTTCCCTGTTGTAGATCAGGCACAGTTATGAGCGTGACATGAGTCAGTCCATTTACAATTCTAGTATGCTTGAACGAGAAATGTCCCCCCTTTGGGAATGGCCTAAAGACACTTCAGTCAGTGGCACTGCCCCGGGGGGATGCATTTCTTCAAAGGCGAGGCAAATCTTACCGAATAGTGTCTGGCGACATGCGAGAGAGGCTGTCCGCAGCGTGTTTCGGACCGCCGGCTGCAGACGACTTAACACGCACCAGCCGCCTTTCAAAATCTGGATCATCGGCGAGATTGTCGTCATGCCGCCAGACTTTGATCTCTTCTCTGTCGAAGATCGGTTTCTTGCCCTCAGTTTTCTTGTGCACCATTTTGAACAGAGAGGCATCAAACACTCTCTGTAGATGAACACAGCAGCCAGGACAATTGTCAATCAGAGTTGCACGGAGCACTACGAAGACAAGCATCATGCTGAATAGGACATATTTATGGACATAGCTTTTTACAGTTCCCAACAGCAATACAAAAGTACAGTCGAACCAGCTCTAATGGACACCCGTATAATACAATCACCCGTACATACGACCATTTCCCATTCCCCCTCCCCGGCATTTTTACGATACCATTAATCGACTATCCTAAACGTCAACCAGTCTAAGACAACTTCTATTCTCCCCGACAATAGGTGGTCGTCTTCCATAACTTTGACTGTATTTCTTTAACTCTTTAACTGTATGGGGGGGTAAACCCACTATGCCAGGCTCCTTCTCTGATAATAAATCTAAAAATGACAAAAACGTCACTAAATGGGTCATTAAATCAAAACGAGTGAACCTATTTTGATAGTTCTTCATCTAATGAATGAACTCCTGATAAGAGAGACCTGTCTTCGGCAACTGCGGAAAAGTAAATTGATGCTGAAGTCGTTCTAAAGGAATGTGCTCGAGCTGCAGTCAGCAGCTCCCGGGCACAGGGGTTCCGGCCGCGAGGCGCTGCAAGCAGCTTGCCGGAGAAAAAGAGTCAACTTTAAAAAAGCAGTCTAAAAGTTACTAAACAGCAGTCTAAAAGTTTTTAAAAATTTGACAGTATTTCCGTAACTTTAAACAGCAGTCTTAAAGTTAGAAAGTTTAACTGTATTCCTTTAAAGAGCAGTCCCAAAAAATGTGACTCACCTTCACCATCACATCCTCGGAGGACCAATGGTGATGTTCTCCTTAAAAATTAAAAAAATTGACTGTATTTCTCTTAAGACCAGTCAAATAAAATGTGACCCACCTTCACCGTTACATCCTCGGAGGGCTCCGCGTTGGGGTTGCGGAGTATGGCAATGGTTACGTTCTCCTCCAGCCGAAACGGCTCCTGGTCCTCGGGCGTGAAGCGGCGGTGCAGCGTCACACGCGACGACTTTTTCTTCTCGGACGTGCTCACCCGGCGCTGGGGGATGGAGCCCCCTCTGAGGGCGTGTCTACCGGACGACGACGACGACGGCAGCGGCAGAGGGCTCGAGTCTCTCCTCCTCCCAGATGTCGAATCCACTCTCTTGCTGGACGTGGGGGCGGAGGTCACGGGCGACCTGCCCCCTCGTAGCGGTGGCGGAGGCGATAGGCTCCTCGAGCGGTTCCTCGCGGGGGGGCTGTAGTGTGTGGGGGGTGGCAATGGCTGCTTCTTTTTGGCGGGAGGCCCAGATCTCCCGGTATCCGGGGACCCGGACCGTTTGAACCGACTGTCGCTTCTGGCTCTGAAAAGATTTATACTGCTGAGTTGGGAGCTTTGGAGTGACTGCAATATTGACTTTAAAAGATCCTGGCTTCATTAATAAAAAATATATAAATTAGCCTCTGCACTTACGGTACAGTCGAACCTGCTGTAAAAGCCAACTACCTCTATAAAGAATTACATTAGCAAAACTGAAAAAAGAATTTTTGACAACTTAAATTGTTATCTTTAATGAGAGTGAAATTCCCGTCATTTTGGTTATTTAATCAGAACAGATGAACCTATTTTGATAATTCTATATCTCATGAGAGAACTACAAGTAAGACTAAGAGAGAGACCTCTTTTCGGCAATTGCCAAAAATAAATATTAGGCTGTGGCCGAGGGGTGAGCTGAGGGAGCCAGCAATGAGGAGCTCATCAAATGGTCTTTGGTATGCAAAAGGAGAGATACAGCTTACTATGTACATGTCACACGCTGCAATGTTGTGGAAACATGTAAAAATGAGGCAGCGTGCTGGAATCAGGCTCTCGTCAATTTTTGGGCACATCGAGTTATTGGTATCATCTTAAAGCTTGTTCACTTGTCTTTATTTGAATGAAAAAAATTCCTGTTTATCTTCAATACAAGTCGAGATATTTGTGAAAGAAGAATGTGGGGGTCGCCTGTTTTCAGAGGTAAAATTAGTGAGAAAATGGCCGCCAAAGATTAGTTATTTCCTCAGCTTAAGAGTCCGCGGTAAATGAAAATTTACATTGTTTGTGCCTTTAATCAAAGTTTTTCAGAAAAATCCACACAGAAATGAGTTCTTTAATGGGCATGAAAGGAGTTGAGCCCAAAAATAAAAATTTGATAAAAATTCACAAACCTGCGGAAAAATGCAAGTTTCTTCACTTTGATTGTTTTGACGAGAGCCTGATAGCACCATGCTGCCTCACATATATATATATATGTATTACGAGTGACCGTTTCTAAAGTCTAAAGCATATCATTATCATACATGCACATTTCTCTTGGAGGACATATGATTTTTTTTTTCTTCTTCTTTACTTCAGGTCTTTCATACAATTATTTTACCTTATTTTACACCAACATGTTTTCAATGTAAATACTTGGTTAAGATGTAGATTTTGAAGTTATAACATGTAGTATAGATAGATAGACAGACAAACAGACAGATAAAACGACATAGAGGTAGCTTTCAGATAGATTTTGAAGTTATAATATGTAGTATAGATAGATAGGCAGACAGACAGACAGATAAAACGACATAGAGGTAGCTTTCAGAGGTTTTGAAGTCCTAGATAGACAGATAGACAGATGTATTATTTCACATAGAGCCTCATCATCGTCATCCAGTGCCAGATCTGCGACAGACATCCTCGATCAAGGTTCTCATTCATTCTTTTGCTCGGATGCTCTCAAAAAAGCTATGTTTCCCTGATCTTTCCCTGTTACCCATTTGTTTAGGTTCCATAGAGCCTACGTACCATCCTCTAAAACAATCAACCTGGCGTAACGTTCTCACCTGTCCCCTCCAGCCCGAGGCGGTGGTCCGGGGGACGGACTTCTGTGACCCCGGAACTTTGACCCCGACCTGTCATTGTCCCCGGCGGCAGGGTACTGCGGCTGTTTTAAGTACGGCGGCGTCTCTCTGCGATCTGATTCCGGAAAACAGAAAGATAAGGTAAACATCTCGATCCTTAAAAAAAACTTTCAGAATTAGAGTTTAGACGCATTACACTCATGCAAAAACCAACGACACAACATTTTAAGGAAATTGTGAGGCTGAACTTTGATCTGCATCTGCAACATTCTAATAGACGCAGGAACTGAATAATAAGCTATCAAAAAGTACTTTTACTTACAGGGCCTGAATCAAGACTCCCATTTCCTTCTGTATGATTGTTTAAGGAGGGAATATAAGATCATAGGTAGTAGGGTGGGTGGTTGGCGGGTGCTCTGGTGTGGTTTGCGTCTTCTTTCCTATCAAACATCTATCGTCCTTATCTCCCCTTCTTCTTTTTTATGTTTGTTACTCTCTTGTAACACCTCTAATCTCCTGGCGCTCATATGATCTTTTGCAGTTGCGAGCGCCGTAAAAACCTGTAACTACTACTACATAGGTAGTAGGTAGAGAAAAAAATCTGCACCCTATGTTTAAAGAATTGCAAAAATTACACCACAGTTCAAGAAAACTTTGAAGGCATTTTTGAAACCAAACAACGCTCAAGTGACTCCTCCCACTCTATGCATGACTAAATGTGAAACATGCTGACAAAATGAGTTACTTCTCGGATTTGAGCCTTACGGAAATAAATACATCACGCAAATAGGTGAAGTTTTTTCCATTCACATTCATTATAAAATAATAAAAGGCATGTTATACTTAAAGAATATGGCATCAATTAAGAATTTTTTTTTTTACAAATTTGACTTTAGTGTCGATTTGTGGCCAAATATCGATTTACGGATTTCGAGAAGTAACCCCTTTTGTCAGCACGCCTTACAAATAGCCTTTTCAGCCTGTGGAAACAGAAGATCTGTATAACTACAACACATAGCTGCAGAGCATGACCAGATACAAAAAATGAAAAAATAATCAAACACAATTGAAGGAAAAGGCTGTCACACTAATTCAGCACATACAATACAATTTTAGTTTAGTTTAGTTTAGTAAAGTTTTACGGCACTTGCAACACAATAAGGTCATATAAGTGCCGAAGATTAGAGATGTTACAAGACAGTAACAACAAACGTAACAAAGAAGGAGGAGAGATAAGGACGACAGATGTTTAAGAGGAAAGAAGGAGCAAACCACACCAGAGCACCCGCCAACCACCCACAACAATACAACTTCAACTACAAAGGCAAACATGTATTGTGATAAAAAGGCTGTTTTCACAACAAGCAGCAACACAGGCACATAAATTCATGAACAATACACACACCCCAAAAAAAAAAATGTGCTGGTGCCCATATGACCAGCAGTTGTGAGTGCCGTAAAACCTCTACTAAAACAAACAAAACAAAGATGTGAGAAAAGGACTGCCCACTTTACCTTTAAATTGCAAAAAAGTAAGCACTGCATTTAAAAAAAGCTCAAGATATGAGAGAAAAGTAAAAGAATTAGAATCGTGTGCTGTAGGTGTAGGATATTAGTTTTGTTTCAGTAGAGGTTTTACGGCGCTCACAACTGCATAAGGTCATATGACAGCCAGAAGATTAGAGGTGTTACATGAGAGTAACAAACATAAAAAAAGAAGAAAGGGAGATAAGGACGATAGAGGTTTGATAGGAAAGAAGAAGCAAACCACACCAGAGCACCCGCCAACCACCCACTAGGTGTAGGATACACCTGAAATGGAGTAACAAAAAGCATTAATAATAATAAGCATTAATAAATAGCATTTGTATAGCGCATAACCCCGCTCGAAAGCAAGCTCTGTGCGCTTTACACTATATTATTACCCCAGCAGACCATAGAACACTCCGAAACATTCTCAGCTTCCCGGGAAGCACACAGTGCAAGCAGCTGATTAAGCGCTCAAACACTAACAAACTCACAAGATCTTTCACTGTCTATAGTTGGGTACCACCTGGGTGAAGTGAGGAAAACTCGTGTAAAGTGCCTTTCCCAAGGACACGTCAGGTCCCTGACAAGATTCGAACCCATGACCTAATGGTTGCATCCGAGAGCCTCACCGCTAGGCCACCGACACCACTATTACATCACAGATTAACAAGACAGCAAGACACAAAGATGTGAGAGAAGGACTGCCCGCTTAAACCTAAAGTGAAGCAAAGTAGACATCACATTTTGTCAAAGCTCAGATCAAGAGAAAAGAACTGTGTGCTGTAGTGTAGGATACCTAAAAGGTAAGTTTAGTTTTAGTAGAGGTTTTACAGCGCTCGCAACTGTATATAAGGTCATATGAGAGCCAGAAGATTAGAGGTGTTACAAGAAAGTAACGAACAGAAAAAAGAAGAAGGGGAGATAAGGACGATATATGTTTGATAGGAAAGAAGGAGCAAACCACACCAGAGCACCCATCAACTACCCACTACCTTAAAGGAAGCAACAACGACATTACTGATCATGAATGACAAATAAAACACAAAAATGTGGGAAAGCAACTGCACACTTTACCTAAGAAAGAACAAAGTATACATATTTTTTTTTGTTTTGTTTGTTTTTGTGAAGTGTTTTACGGCGCTCGCAACTGCATGAGGTCATATGAGCGCGGGATACACCTACTATTTTCAGTTGGTAGAAAATTTTGAATTTTGCCCGGGTGACGGCCGAAGCCTACTCTTATCGATTTTAGACCACCAAGGGATCTTTAACGTGCGCAACTTGCACACGGGCCCTCCGAGATTTTTCGTCCTTGTCCGAGAAGGCTAGGTGTAAATCTTGCCTACCAGAAGATCAGGGGTGTCGCAGAAAGACAGCAGTTAGGAGGAGCCAAGGAGCAGCAGTAGAAAGGCTGCAGAAAGAGTCAGGAGCCCAGAGGAGGGGGCAAAGGAGGTGAGGGGGTGGGGGCAGAAAGTGGAAATGAAAGCAGACAACAGAACATTGCTAGAGAGCAGGAAAGGAGGTGAAAGGAGGCAATTTTAGAGAAGAAAATTTTTCGGTCGCTACCCGGATTTGAACCCGGGACCTTTGAATGAGAGGCCAACACCTGAACCTCTAGGCCACGAGAGCCCCCATACACACTTTAACAAACAAAGGTCAGATGATAAAGAGAAAAGAACCAAATTCTCTAGGAAACCTAAAAGGAAGCAACAATGACATTATGATTATGAAAAAAAAAAAAGACACAAAAATGTGGGAAAACAACCACGCACACTTAACTGAAGTAGGTATTATACATTAACAAACAAAGGGTCAGATAAAAAGGGAAAAAAAGCAAATTCCGTAGAATACCTTAAAGGAAGCAACAGCAACATTACCAATTAAAATTAGACGACAAGACACAAAAATGTGTGAAAACAACAACACACTTTACCTACAACACCACAAAGTAGACATTACACATTAACAAAGCTTTCATATCAAAAGAAATGAAACGCACACAGTAGGATGCCGAAAAAAAGCAACAACAACATTACCGTACCGATTACTCAGATAACAACGGGAAAACAACCGTACACTTTTCCTATAATAAAGCAAAGTAAACATTACACTTTACCAAAGCTCATATCAAGAGAAATGAAACGCACGCTGTAGGATACCGAAATAAAGCAACAACATTACCTTACCGGTTACTCAGATCAACGACAAAGTGTGTGAAAACGACCGCACTTTTCCTATAATAAAGCATTACACTTCAAATAAAACAAAGCTCATATCAAGAGAAATGAAACGCACGCTGTAGGATGCCCCTCCCCCCCAAAAAAAGCAACAACGACAATACTGATTAATTAGACGACAAGACACAAAACTGTGAGAACTCAAGGGCACACTTTACCTAACAGAGGGGACTTGGCCCTGTTCCTCTTGTGATTCCGCGGTGAGCGGCTTCTCCTGTGTGCATTTTGGGGAGGGGGGTAATCTCTTCCACGACCCCCGAATTTCGGTGGAGGCTTAAAACCTCCTCTGTTTCCCCGAACAGGAGACAAAGACCTTCTGGGTGGGCCTCTGCCCCCTCCCCCGCCCCCAGTTGACGAGGGCTGCCAACTTCGCTTGTGTTTGCTAGGGACAGGCGATATGGACCTGACAGATGAAAGGAAAGCCAATTGAAATTATAAACAAGTTCGATGTACACACACACACATACATACACATACATATATATGTATATATATATATATGAACAGCACAGGGGAAAAAACAACGGTAGTCACAAACTGAAATTTGTGAGGGTGCCAATTTTAAAAGGTTGTGTACTCCTAACTTAATATCAAATTGTTTGACTGGTAGTTTATTGTTTAAGTGTTGTCGAATGGGAAATCTAACAACAATAATCAACCAACAGTTGAAGAGAAATACAGTTATGAGTCAACAAGCGTTCAAAACTGGTACCCTCGCGATTTTCAGTTCGTGACTACCGTCGTTTTTCCCCTGTAGTCTTCATATATAATATATTATATAATATATATATATAAGCTTTTGCCAATAGGTGGGTACCTAAATTGTAGCATAGAGGTTGATGATAAAGTTTTAATATTTTGTTTTTACTTGAATTTTTCTATTCATGTATACCTCCTCCTACAAAAACATGTATTTACAGACCTACAGACTGCATGCTAAACTGTGTAAGCTGGCGTTACATAACGTCAAGTCAAATTTTTTCGGACATTACTATGATGACACATTTTTTAAAGAATTTGTACAAGAAAACAAAATTATTTTAACAGTTTTCTTATTGCTTTGATTTTCAAACATAAGCATGTAGAGCAAATCAAATGGTGAGGATCAAAATTCTGAATGCTGATGTGTTTGCATTTGTGTCATCATAGTTATGTCCGAAAAAAAATGAAAAACTTTCCATTTTTCATATCTTAATTACTTTTATGAAAATTTGGGCCAACAACGATTCAGAATTCACTATCACCCTTTATTATAATAATTCATTGGAATGCCAGTGACAAAGTTACTAAAAATAGAAAAGCAGTGTGTTGCAAACCACTAAATTACCAAATCATCTGTAATTTAATCCCGTTTATATATATTAATTATAGATGCATTATCAATAATATAATGTTTCAGGTATACTAATAATTATAAACACTGATATCATGAAGGATGAGACAAAAAAACACTGGTTAAAAGTGTGATGTTAGGACCGGTTGAAGATGAAAAATGACAAACAAGGTTGCAGATTAATGATTGAGAAAAAAGGAGATTTTTAGAAATAGTAACTTTGTCACCGGCATTCTGATGAATAATAATAAAGGACCTAGATCTAGTCAACTTGAAAGGGAAACCCCGAAAGATGACAAAAATTTATGCTAGAAATACATCATCTATATTTGGGCCAGAAGGACTTCAGTAAAATGAGCGACCACCCCAACAAACACAATAAAGAAGAGATCTAACCCTATCCCTCTGTTCTACTCTGTCTAATAGTCATAGTGGTCGTTCGTTACGGAAGTCCTCCCTTTGAGCCAATCACAGAGGTGTACTAAAAGCTCTCTCTATAGATGTGCTTTCACTGAAAATAATCAGAGTCGGCAGGCTGCCGTCGTGTGGTCATGACTAACAAAGTGGGAATCCCTCAAAGACATCAAACAAGACATATATAAAATATCGGCCAATGTCATGGGGGGGGGGGGGGGGATTGAAGAATACCGGACCAGCGGACTGACTTTGCCTATGTCTCAACCTTAGGATTTCATGATTTTCCCCAGTTTTTAATCTCTCAATGGTGAATCTCGGACAGGTAGATCTATTCGTTACAATTTTGTCAGGGGGAAGAACATGCCGTTAAACGTAGAAAATGCATCTTTCTGATTGGCAGCAAATTTTAGTAAAATGTGATGTCATCACTTCCTGGGATACCCACAGATTCTTTGGAGGCACTTGGACATGATGGAAGATCACTTCAATCTAGAATCTAGATCTAGATCGTTGATGCTCAGAACGGTAAGATTAAGAACGCTGATTATAAGTTATAGGGACAAACTGTTGGTTAGTTGGGAGGAAAAGAGAAAAAAAACCCATCTGGGACAGGGATCGAACCGCTCATAAAATCATTGCATGCCTTCAAACACAGACTCGCTGTCTATTCGGCCATCATACATTCTGACAGCGAGAAGTAGATTAAAAGCAATAAACATAGACACTTCCATCTTTGGTGCCGTGCGGTTGGCTACTTTGAGATGTAGTCACGTGATCGGAGGGGTATCCTGGTCTGACATAAAACAAGATGGGTGCCTTACCTAAAAATAGTTTGCGTCCTACATTTAATCGCATGTGGGGGGAGACCCCCCTGAACCCCCCCACCCACATGCCGTTAAACGTAGAAAAGACGCATTTTTCTGATTGGCTGCTAATTTTAACTAGTACTATGTCATCACTTCCTGGGATACCCACATGGAACGACGTGTTTTCTGTAACATTTCGGATTTCCTAGATTTCTAGATTCTATCTAGATCTAGTCCCCCACCACATGCGATTAAACGTAGAAAGACGCAAACTATTTTTAGGAACTGCGCCCATCTTGTTTGATGTCAGAACAGGATACCCCTCCGATCACGTGACTACATTTAAGTATAGCCAACCGCATGGCACCAAAGATGGAAGTTTTAATATATATATAAAACGCTTCTACACCATGCTTTCGGAAGTTCTGACTGCCGAATAGACAGCGCCTCTGCGTTTAAAGTCATGCAATGATTTTAGGATTTTAGGAGCTGTTCGATTCCGGTCTCGGACTATTTTTTTGTTCTCTTCCTCCTCCCGACTGACCAACAGTCCCATGAATTAAAATTCGTAGAGCTGCTTTGAAGTTCGTTTGTTTTTTAATGTATAGATATATTAGTGATGAAGAATGCAGGAGGGGGCGGGGGGAGTAGATCTAATCCTCCAGCGTCTTTTCTCTTATTAAATATACGGCAATTTTCGTACACTTCCATCTTTGGTGCCATGCGGTTGGCTACACTTAGATGACCTTAGATGTAGTCACATGACCGGAGGGGTATCCTGTTCTGACGTCAAACAAGATGGGCGCCGTACCTAAAAATAGTTTGCGTCTCTCTACGTTTAAACTTAATCGCATGTCCCCCACTCCACCCCCTCCTCCACCCCAACCACCCCACATTCTCGTGCAATAATGTATACACGAGTGGTCCGGTATTCTTCAATCTTCCCAATGTTGTTTAGTTTAGTTGTTGTTCTCTAGCTATCCGCTTCAGCCGCTTGTGTACAGCGATGCTACTGTACTGCTACCTCATCTCACCAGCAGTGTCCACCTGACAGTGAGTGACAGTGCCAGGCAGAATAGAAATATAAAAGCGTAAACCACGCAGACAAAATGTTCCTGAGCATTTGAAACATACCTTGAATGCCTCCTTCTCTGAGGCCTGTCGTGGGGCATCGTATTCTTTACTTCAGTCTCCGAAGCACTATAAAACTGACTTACTATTAAAATCAAAAGTAGAATAAATGGTGAGAAGTGAGAAACTGAAAGAAAACACACCGGAAGTTTGATGCAGGAATTATGTCCCATTTTTCATCATTTACCTGCTAAAAGTTGGTTTGGATTTGAATTGGAACAGGAGATTCTTTGTCGTTCTGAGGTAAAGTTGTTCAGAAAATCTTGTTTCAAATCCACTGTTCAAGTGTAAAAAGATATTTGATTGATTTTCTCCATTAAAATGTTCAATTGGGCTGCTGTAACCACCTTGACTGTGATGGCCAGAAACATAGAGTAGCAGGAACGGAACTCGCCTCC